GTCTGGCAATGCTAGTATTTATGCATGCAGGAGGCTGAATTTGACTCAGTCAAAAGCCTCCTGATGTTCGATGTTCCAACACCATTCCGCATCTCTTTTAAGGAGATTGGATAACGGCCGGGCCATTTATGCCTAATTTACGTTATACTTGTGCAAGTAGTTGGCGAGACCAAGCCACATACGCAAGTCCTTCTGGTTCTTTGAAACCGGCAAGTCTACACTGGTCTTGACCTTAGCGGGATGCCACGCTTCGCAATGAAGCACTCTAAAAAGGGAATCTCTTCTGCGCCGAAGATGCGCTTCTCTGTATTGGCGTATAGTTTGTTCGTGTGCATGCACTCGAGCACCGCTCTTAAATGGACGATGTGATTCTTCTCATCTGTCTTCCTGTGCTCCGCACGAATATGAACAAAAAAGTTGTCGAAGTATGTCTGTGCGTACGCCCTGTGGGGCCTGAACAACAGCGTCACAAGACGGTTAAATGTTGCTGGTGCATTTGACAGCCCTTGGGGCATCACCAGCCACTACCAAAGCATGCCTCTTGAAGTGCTCACCGCTGGTAGCGATATATCACACGCTCTCATGAGCAATTGGTAATACCCATCCACCAATTCGAGGGCACTGTAATTCGTACATCCCACCATGTTGTTCTGAAGAACATCCTTTCTAGGGTTCATAGAATCGGCGTCTAAGCCGGAATGGTTGCCACTTTGAGCTTAATATTAGCATTACCGATACGCCACTTGCCTTTCGGCTTTCGAGCACAAAACGTGGGTATCGAATGGGGAGACTTGCTCTCACATACTATCACTGCGTCGTGCTTCGCACGGACAAATGCGTCAATGGCGTCGCACAGCTCCTTTGGTAGGGTCCATTGGCGGGTTCGCAGTATTTGGTTCCTGGAACCAAGTCAATTTCATGACACACACATCGGTCCGGAGGTAGGACCGAGGGTGGGTCTTTGAAGACGACGTCTTGAAGTTCTTTTACCAAAGGATAGTACGGATCCAAGGGATTCCGTGGGATCGACGATCCACTTCGTGCGATTAGCACTCTCTTGGTGTCCTCCAAGACAGCTTCATCCAGACGCGATGACGAGTTTATCTCCTCGTCTGGTCGTACAATGACCACTTCGGCCAAATCGCCTGCCTTTAAAGCACTGCCAAACTCTTCAAGGGACATCTCGTCCAGCTCAAGAAGAGCATCTACTGCAGGCATAGCCTCGAGGCGGACGTCACCATCTTCCTTTTCCGTCATACCGTCAACGAGGGTGTCTAAATTTGCGCCATCGTCTACGGTAGACAAACTCTGGATCAGGGTCGACGCCCGGCGTCTTGAAGCCAGCTTCGGCGTCGCTGTCGCCTCTGTACAGAGGTTCTATGTCTCGGTGAGACCAGGGTGAACACG